CATACGGTTACATGCAATAGTGGTCGCTAATAGTCTAGGGGTTGATGCAACCTTAAACAACAATAATGATAATAATAATAATAATAATAATAATAATAATAATAATAATAATAATAATAATAATGGAACAATACATATCAATTATGTTTGCAACTACATCAAATTTAACAATAGTAGTACATTCTATATTTAAAACTTGAAATGGTGAGGAGGCAAGTTTTGACCAGTTTTTTTTTTCTTCTTTCAATTTGTACACGTAGTCCAGAGAGAAACATATTTGGGGGGGGGGGGCATTCTCCTTCTATTTCACAGGATGCGATATGACAGTTCCTTTTTCTTTGCTTCAGCTCGAAACAGTACACTTACACTTATCAACAGGCTATGACATGTCTTAATATCATGTTCTAACTTTCGCCGAAACCGAATCTTATTGCTACCGCGACTTTGCGCGAGTCAAATGAGCGGCAACGCTGGACCCTGGGTGTAAGATAGTCAACAAATCCTCGCAAGCTGATTGCTTAAGAGCAGGTCACATGACGAACCACAGCACGTGGCGAGAGAACTGTCAGAGTCGCTTACACGCTGCGGGTACTGAATGTTTCACGCAAAATCACCCAAAAAGGACTCAATTTGCGAAAATCTGAACTTGACCTTATTTAAAGATCTGTTTCTGATGAACACATTTCTTTAAGAAAAAAATTATCTTCATAATTGTAATTGTAGGAAGACGCCAAAAAATTTTGAATTTTTGCAATTATCGAAAAATCTTCAAAAACTATTTTGTTTATCATGAAGGGAGTACTCGTATGCCATTTTCTCACTGTTAACCACGGTCAGATTGACTGCACCCAGATGTGCACGGCAAAATTTTGGTCAACGCAATTGTCGGCCTGCGGCTTCACGAAATGAAATTGGCGAAAGCATGAGATCAGTGCCCACAGAAAATCAATAAACTCAATATTTTAATGTACATAACTCAATATTTCGGCAGCAAAACTCTGTTCGTATGTGTCGTGATATTAAGGGAAGAAACTGCAGAGACTATTATTCATCGTACGTACTCCCTAAAGCAGAAGAGATTTTTTCATACTGGAGATATACAAAAATAATTCCAGCATTCGAGAAGTTCTTAATTTCCTTTAAGCTTGGTGCGCGTTCAGCATTCTTTGTTACGCCACAATCTGTGTTTATAAATCGTAATAAAATTCATTTTATATAGATTCAATAGATTAAATTAATAATTTAATATAAAACCCTTGATACTATTACAGGTACTATTAAGGATAATCTACGTCAAGCGATGTTAGCCTCACTCGTCAGTTTCAACGAAAACGCAAAGAAATGATGCGCCCAGCACCGATGGCAGACGCCGCGCCGGTGTCTGCTGTGAGGCGGCAGCCGGTTTGAATTTCGCGTCCACAAGTATCATTTAAACTCAATTTTCTGTAAGACTTTTTTTTACTTTCTCGCCTTACGAATTCTTCGTAAGATGAGAAAGTTATATAATCGTGCGTAAGAAAAGGCCAAAATTCGCCAGAAAAAAAATTTCATTGCCGGATTCTGGTAATGAAGTAGTAGATATATCCTGTTGCTAAATTTAGAAAAAACCCTCTAACTCGTGGTGTAGCCAGAATCCACGTTTTTTTGATTCTTTATACCGAAAAATCGTTTGACTGCAAAACGTCCGTCTTGATCAACGCTTGCACCTAAACCGTTGAACCGATTTTCTTCAAAATTGACATTCCTCAATCGATCTGAATGAATTCATAGCTTTGGGATTTTCAAACGGATATTTGAATTTTTGAAGGTACTTCACATGAAGCCTCAAACACATTTTCAAAATTTTCTCAAAAGCGACCCAAAGTTTTTGTTTCAATTTTGTTGTTAATAATGCGAATAAGAGAATGGTTTAGGTCCCATTTTTGCCAACTTCCCCAATTTTTCGAAAATCACAAAAAAGTTTAAAACTACAAAATTGAAGATAGAAGTTCGTGGCTCAGTCAGTTGTACAAAATTAGGTCTTTAAAAAAAGTAATGCACATTTTTTGTAAAAAAAATAGTAGTTTCTGCGTAATGGGGGCTTGAAATTTACGATTTTTCTTCACAAAAACCGCTCCATTTTTTTCTTTAAATTTTCTCCACACATGTTATTAGGGACGGTAAGAAATATGGTGCTGGTCCCATTTTTGGGTATTGCTCTTTTTTTTTTGAAAATTGCAAAAAGATTCAAAACTACCAAATTGAAGATATTTTTGCCTCAGATAAATAAATAAGAAATAAAAACTAATGTTGCTAGAGACTGGCACAGACTTTCGCGCAGCATATAGTTTTCTAATCTCTTCAGTTTGTACTAGGATTTCATCTTTGACTGATTCTCTACCCAGATACCTTCTTTGGTCGTCCAAGGACATTTTTTTCTTCAAATCTTCGCGATTTTTCGAGTTTCTAATGCCAGTACTGAAACCACCATATGCTTATTACTAGTAAGTTACTTATAAGTGAGAGTCGCTACTCGGGTGGCCGACAGGTTCGGACTCAGCGTTTCAGAGGGAAGTGCCGCTGATTCGAACCTATCTCGGAGATAATTATTTTCACAACTCTGTTGGTGAAGAAAACTATTGAGAATTTCAGAATCTTCATTTAATATCATTTCAAGCAATTCTACTCACATATACAATCTGTTGAGATTCTAAATAAACTAAAAGTGTTTATGTCATTTCCGTATTTTGAAATTTGAAACAAGTGTTCAACTCTCTTGTTCTATTTGTAAAACGTATGTCACATCAAATCAATTGTTCAATATAATATGCAAATCAATATAATATTGCCGAGCGTTTAGGAACATTGCGAGAAAGTATGTGCTTTGGTAGCTCCTAGTTTTTTAGTTTATCTGCCATTCTGCATGAATATCAACATAGAATATGGGGGATATTTTTGTAACAGGAGCTTCTGGACATCCCGTTTAGGGACAAGATTTATCCACTTTTTCGTTACCAGGGCCCGGCAATAAGAGTTTTCCGGTCGAAAATTCGCCGTTTATTCTCGCAGTATTACAATTTATGTAAGCAGGAGCAAGAAAGTAACTAGTGCTAACAACAGCACATACTTACTCGCATAACTACTCTGTATATTTGTAACACACCATACAGGCAGGGAAGGATAATTTCACACATAAATTGAATATCCAGAAGTAAAGACCGTCCAGTATATCGCATTACAATGATCCGAAACGACGATATCATTACCTTATGCGTATCTGTGTATACATTCTGCCCGACTTTAATGAAGTTGAATACACCATTTTATTGAACAAGAGAGCATTGTAAGACTAACGTTAAGTGAATAAAACCGCCGTATCTTTCACATTAAGGGGCAGTTCAACTATGAACTTCTTAAATATCCATCGCTGCATTGTTACCTAATGTAGCGTACGGTGGTAATACAAAATTATTGTGAAAAAAATTCGTACAAAATTATGGAACTCATTTTTTAAATTTTTTGTTTCATAGTACATTTAAATCATATTTTTAAGAGAAAAACCTAATTGAGCTAATTTCAATTAAGGTTTGCCGATTGCTTGAAAGAAAACACATCAATACACTGAGAATATAATTTGTAGAATAGAGTAAAAATAGAATTAATATTGAAAATTCCAATATTAAATTATAATTTACTAAAATCTTTACCTTTAGTACCCGTTCATTTTTATTTTTCGCCCTTAATCCTTAAAAAGAAAATGTATTTTAATTGTCGCCGGAAAATGCCGAATTTTGGACAGAAAAACTTGTCGGGCTCTTATAACGAAAAGTGGATAAATCTTGTTCCTGTGTATAGTAAATTGCTTCATCTAAAAACGTGAGAGTCGGAATCCATATTTTATTGGTCCTAGACACAGAAAAATCGGTTGTCAATCGTTCATTTGTCGGCCCGTCCATGGTCAACGCTAGGGCCTAAGCCGTCCAGCCTATTTTCTCCAAAATTGATTCAATTTGACGAAAAAAGTTTTCGTGTAATTTGGCGCAAAATGTAGGCAGTATTTTTTTTTCTAAAAAACCTTTCCATTTTTTTCTTTTCCCTCGCTGATAGAAGAAGGGGTGTTTAAAAAGAATGGCGCAGGTCTCATTTTCTTTGAACTCTGAATTTTCGAGAATTGCAAATATAGAAATAATGCGGCAAATTATGCGCTGTTGTAGCACCACTAGTTTATTATTTAATTTCAATTCTTAAGAATTTTTTACCTACTACTTCCAAGATGAAAAAACCAGACAAAGCATGTTTAAAGTTTCTTTTTATTAAAATCTTGTGTAATAGAATATTTTAACATAAGAAAATACTTCAAGGGGAGGTACTATTGTTGTACATTTTCTTTTTGTCTTCCCTTAAGGCTTCATTAATACCACATTTGCCTAGTAACGAAATATATAAATAAATAGTAATGTTTTGTTGATTGAAGTGTAAATATTCTTCAGCTGCTTCATGTGTATGCATGAATTAAAAAAGAATTTATCAGAAATTGAAAAGTGTGTAAATACAATTTGCTCTATATTTGGACTACACTACACATCACTTCACTGTGATGGGTATAACACTTCACTCAAAAATCATGTATAGAGCAACATTGTGAAAACAGGAATCTCTCTCATGAATGGTAAAAAAAAAATGATTGAGAATGAACCAACAAATGAGACAACAAAATTGTCAGTGCTCATATTTTCTCTTTCCCTTTCACATATTTGTGATTTCACAAAGGAATATGAAATATCTCATAAAAATTAATGCCATTCGAATTTTCAGCTACTTTTCTTTTAAAATCTAGAATTCGCAATTTTATTTTAGTATCCAATATTTGAAGGTCCATTGTTTTCTGATTTATAAACAAGATTGCCAAACGTGAATATTTCTGGAATATTACTTGTGCTCTTTTGCCATATAGTTATGTTCTATTATTTTAGAATGTTTGTTACAATTAAATAATTATTTATTTTATTTTATTTTTGCAGATCAGCAGTCACCATGCTCTGATGATTCAGTTGGCAGTAATTTTGGAGCAGAATCAAAGTTGGACCGAATGCAGGTTGGTCAAGGTGTACATCTTTCTAGTCAAAAATTTTCAGCTCCTTACAACAAACTTAGTACTACAACTCACAGCAGCAAGTTGTTTGCAACTTGCATTGTATGTGGAAAACAGCTGAGTAATCAGTACAATTTGAGAGTTCATATGGAAACTCACCAGAACGTTAACTATGCCTGTCGAGTTTGTAATCATGTGTCTCGTTCTCGTGATGCATTGCGAAAACATGTTTCTTATAGACACCCCAAGGAGAATAAAGACAGACTGTCTGTTGGGGGCATTGCTAGAGAAGGGAGTCTGTTATCTGCCAGTAATAATGGTGTATCAGGCACTAATAGGAAGCCAAAGTTATTTACTACTAATAGTGACATAAAACAATAACAACCAAGTGTATTTTACCTTGTGTTTTGAAGACTTGTGTGTTATTTATATTACACACAAACTTATTCGACCCTCTCTTAAAATCTCCAAGAATTATTCTTGATTGTTGTTTAAAACAATTGTGTGAAAAGTGTTAGAATGATTGATTCATAAAAATTGAAGGGAGTCAGCAATATTTTGAGAGATTTTTGTTGTTGTTATTGTTGTTGTTATGTTTGTCTTTTTCCAACTGTGATAAAATCTTCCTTGACATATCACCGTAGGTATTAGGAAATTTTTTGATGTTACTATTCAAGAATGGTATTATGAACTATGAATTTGTGGTTTGTTCAGTTATAGTAATGGGATTGTCTGGGTGATTATCCATTTGAGCCATTCATAGTACAACCCGTTACTGACTTTTTAAGGTAGATCTTGGTTTGTTTGATAAGTCAATTTGATTTCAATGTTCTTGAATGTTATGATCACAGACTGAACATGTTGAAGTTTTTCTTCCAAGACATGGGAAACATTTAATGGGTATTTGTTGTCTTATGCCTGGTGTTATATGTAGGTCCTGTGGGCCAGAACCCATGGAACCAATTTTGGAGGTGCACAAAAATGATCAAAAGAACTCTTGTTTTATTTAATTGTACATGAACAAAAATGTTTCTATAGTAATTTCTTCTTCATTCACTTTAAAAGAAGTGATTAACAGATTTAAGAGAATATCTGCCAAGACTGCAAAACATGGAGAAAGCTTGTGAATACTTCTGTGTTGCATCAACACTCAGACTTTTGCTGGTCATCTAATATGAATGGTCTGGAGTTTGGTTTTGTATAAGACCCTGAAAAAATCCTGTGGCCTACATGAGTGGACCATGAATTTCCCCTTTGTCCCTCTTGTTCACAAACTGTTTTTTCTTAGAACCAAAAAATCAAGAAGGGAGGGGAGGTAACCCTCTCCCTCTTGCCATATGCCCATGGTGTTTTGTTACTCACAAATGACATTACTATAGAAAGAGAGACAAAATTCACTGGATCCAGGCACCTAGCATTCTAGATTTGGGCCTGTGATGTGTTTCATATGATATGTTTAAATTTTGAAGCTTTTTGAATATGAATTCAACATAACACTTTGATCACTCATTGAATAATTAGTCATGGCTTTATTTTAAAAGAGGATGGCAGGATAAGATGGGCAGTGGGTGGTTTCAATTTCCTTAGATGGTTCTTTAAGTGTTTTGAATATTCAAAACCTTGATTCTCTTCCTAATCTTTTTCTTCATGTTTTACATTTTTTATTAAATGTTGTTATCTTTAATATACCATATAAAGCTTACTACCATGTTCCATTTAGTGAACATATCAGGTCAATTGGAGTTACTTTTTATTATACAAATTATTATGAGTTACTTATGATACAAAGAGTCATAGTATTAGGATGCCAGAAATTATTATGTTTTCAATGCTTTTTCGTGTATGCTTGGTTTCACATCCATAAATAGAATTCTGAATAACATAAATCATCAGAAACACATGGTTATGTACATGAAAAGTAAACAGCATGATAATGTAGTTGCTGCATTCACTATAAGGGCAATTGGTGATATTGAAACAATATTTTTTTGTTTGTCTTTGTGCAAATGTTATAAATGTTTGGTTTCTGTCCTTGTTTATGCATTTTATTTAACTCACTAAATTAATTTTGCACTTGACAATTGTCGTCACATCCATGCGTGTTAAGCCATTGTTGGAGCTATCTGGTAGCATGGTTTTTATCTTCAAATTGTTGATGTGTTACTAAATTGCACTACTAGAGTGCTCTGAAGCACCAATCGCTGCTTGTGTGAGTAATTCTTTTATAGAACTATCAAAACTATTAGACCTTAGCTGCACATGTGCCATTAGATGCAACCATTTGCTGTATACTGCCCCCTCTCTCAGACTTAACTGCAGGCTTATAGCAGGCAGGTAAGCATTCATTTAGAAAGAGATTTGAATCAATGCACGTTATTAGTACACGCTGGACACTACTTTAGCGATTGTGTCCAATTTGACATCTAGCATTCAGAAATTCCAAAACTTGCTTCACCAAATGAAACTACGTTCCATTTAGCATGTCTATGTCTAGTGAAGAAATATAATATGCAAAGTAGTGCAAAAGAAGCAAACTTGAGTTCACCAGAAATGTGCATCTTCTAATAAGGATCCAGGGCATTAATGAGTTAACTTACACAAGATATTCTTTCATGAGCATTATTTCTGTGCATTCTGGCCAAACATTTTCAAATTTTGGCAAACATTTCATTCTCAATCCTGAGCACCAATGACAATAGCAATTGAAGTGCCCTAAAACCATTTTCATTCCTATCCATCGTAGTGACCATAACAAGGCTATGATTATAATGATGGCAGTGACAATGATGATGGAGAATGAAAGATGAAGTTGACATGAAAATGTAAATGTAAAATATGGAATTAAAATGGGGTGAAAGGAGAATTTGTGAACACCATAGGTTCTCCTCGTAACTCTTTAGCCCCCACATAATTACACGTCAAATGAATAAGATTTGAATCCTGAAGAGGGAAGTGGGGCATAATCCTAAACATGCATTAGATAACAAGCATGCAAATATTATAGAAGCTTGGAAACGATATTTGTCAATGTCATATTGTTTATAATCACTCATTTTCATTAATTTAAAATTAACGAATTTATAGCTTTGTTTAAACAATCTATATTTTGAATAGAATTGTATCTGCGTTTATCTGTATTTTCAGTAAAATGTATGAACAATTGCTTTGTGTCTAGCTATGGAAATGTGGATGAGTAACCTAACTATCACCCCAAAACTAGAAACTTTGCTACCCATCAGACTCTCTTATCCTGCCTTCTTTCCATTTTCAAAACTAAAATATTTGTTATGGAACTGCTTCAATAAATTTTGCCATGATTGACAAAAAAGATGAACTTTAATAAAAACCAGTGAATGTTTTGAGCTCAAAGTGTTCTGCCTAATGTCTTCAAACTAGTCGAAGGAGGTTATAGCATTTTATGTAGAACATGTGAAATACAAATGTGTTTTTAAGCTTAAGAAATATTCTTTAGTAATTATCTTGAAGAATTGTGTGTAGACTATTGTCTATGAATGAACTTGCAGAATAATCAGGGTTAAAGATATCCAAATCATCTCTTTATATTTATAACTACTACGACTTACAGCTATCCAGGAAAATGTTGTCTTTTCCCCTTGGTTTATGAAGGTAAAGAAATGTGCAAGTAGTTTTTGATTTTGATGCTCAAAGCTCATGAAGGAAATAACATTTGTAAAGTGCAATTCACAGAATGTAATATTGCCTACTTGAATGTATTTGATATAATTTTAACTGTTAAAAAGACATATTATGCAAAAGTAGACTCTCCATTACATAGTGTAATGCCATTAACATTACATAGTGTAATGTTATTAATTGTTTATTTTATAAATATATCTGAAGTGTGAAATTTTAACACTTTCCTCTCACGAATATTTTGGTTGAAAATAGTAATGTTACATCATATTTTATTTGCATTGTAACTATAAAATTACCTCTCCCTGTGAATTTAGTGGACTTAATCTTATTATTATATAATACAAGAATATACACCTACTGATTTTCTTACTAAACTTAGTGCGAAGTATTTTACTTTACTGCGAAAAGTAATATAAATACAGTGGAAGTAGTCACATAAACTAACTTTGAAAATATCTCGCAAGTAAAATTGTATTTAGAATTACTTTATAACATTGAGAGAGATGTGTAGTTATCAATATTTATTGTGATCCTTAATTTTTTCTTCTTTCTTTTGCACTTATTAATTTCATGATCACCCTCCCAGAAAGGGGATTGGCATTTTAGAAATTTCTAGTTACATCTCGTGCTGTACATAGTATATTACTCTGAAGAGCCCAAAAAACTGTCACATGTGGCTAATATCGTGTACCCNNNNCCCCGAGTACGCAGAAGTGCCGCAAAACGACGTTGCATGGACTCGACTAATGTATGAAGAACTGCTGGAGGTAATTGACATTATGAATCCTGCAGGGCTTCCCATAATCTCGAAAGAGGACGAGGGGGTGGGGATCTCTTCTGAACAGCATGTTGCAAGGCATCTCAGATATGCTCAATAATGTTCGGGTCTGAGGATTTTGGTAGCCAGTGGAAGTGTTGCCCAAGTCCGTCGGGATGAACAGTGGACGTGAATGGGTGCAGATGATTAGACAGGATGTTCACATACGTGTCACCTGTCAGAGTCGTGTCTAGATGTATCAGGGGTTCCATATCACTCCAGCTACATACGCCCCATACCATCGCAGATCCTCCACCAGCTTGGAACAGCCCCCAGTTGACATGCAGGGTCCATGGATTCACGAGGTTGTCTCCATACTCGTACACGTCTATCCGCTCGAAGCAATGTGAAACAAGACTCATCAGACCAGGCAACGTGTTTCTAGTCATCGACAGTCCAATGTCGGTGTTGTCGGGCCCAGGCGAACCGTAAAGCCATGTCGTGCAGTCATCAATGGTACACGAGTAGACCTTCGGCTTCGAAAGCCCATATCGATAATGTCTCGTTGAATGGTTCGCACGCTGACACTTGTTTATGGCTCAGCATTGAAATCTGCAGCAATTTGCGGAAGAGTTGCACTTCTGTCACTAGTAGTGATTCTCCTTAGACGTCGTCGGTCCCGTTCTTGGACGATCTTTTTGCGGCCTCTGCTAAGCCGAAGGATTGATATTTTACCGGATTCCCCATATTCAGGGTACACTCGTGAAATGGTCGTACGGGAAAATCCAAATTTCATCGCGACCTCAGATGCTATGCCCTATCTCTTTTGCGCCGTCTATAACACCAAGTTCAAACTCGCTTAAATCGTGATAACTTGTCATTGTAGCAACAGTAACCGATCTAACAACAGTGCCAGACTCTGGTTGTCTTACACTATGTGATGAAAAGTATCCGGTGACGTGGCTGAAAATTACTACGAGTTCGTGGCACCCTCCAACAGTAATGCTGGAATTCAATAGGGTTCCACTCTCGCAGGCATTTTTTTCAATCAGATGCTGGAGGGTGTCTTGGGGGAATGGCAGCCCATTCTTCACAGAGTGCTGCACTGAGGCGAGGTATCGACATAGGTCGGTGAGGCCTAGCACGAAGTCGGCGTTCCAAAACATCCCAAAGGTGTTCGATAGGATTCAAGTCAGGACTCCGCCACAGACCGTGCAGTAAGACAGGTGCTTGGTCGTGTTGAAAGATGCAATCGCCATCCCCGAATTGCTCTTCAACAGTGGGAAGCGAGGCCTTTAAAACATCAAGGTAGGCCTGTGCCATGATAGTGCCATACAAAACAAGGGATGCAAGCCCTCTCCACGAAAAACACAACCACACGATAACACTATTTTGAACGTGTCCGGATACTTTTGATCACATAGTGTATGTAGTCGTTGCCGACCGGAGCACCGTATTGTGATTGATTCCAGATCTCTTTATTTTAGTATGCATGGCTGTAGCAGTTTTTTTGGCTCTTCAGTGTATTAATGGTATTAGAGAATTGGTGTAAACGCTCAATCTCCGGTTTTTAAGGGAAGTGTGATTTTAAATAATCAGTAATTATTGAAATTGTGTAAACATTAATAGAATTGTGAAGACCTACACAGTTCAGCATTTTGTTGTGGTTCATTTAAATTTTCACTATAATGAGGCTAAATTTGCAAAAAAAAATTATGCTTTAGAAAAAATTGAGTTTTGTATGCAACTGATTCACTCAATTAATAATATTTGAAAATGTCATAATTTAAATTACAAATCTGATGAAAATGTTAAAGTAAAAATACTCGCTATTTACTGTACACCTTTGCCTCTTGAGTTAATCATCTAATTTTAAACTTATTACCTAATACACCAATTAATGAAATTTTGTCATTAGAATAAAAGTCAACATTTT